ACCTGGGGTAGCCACAGCCCACAGTTTATTACTTTTAGGATCATGCCACAAAGAAAGAATAAACTGAGTAAGAATAAAGCATTCCGTAAAATGTTAGAGGATGGCCAACATTGTTAAATCTTTCTTAATAAAATCTCTTTTGAATTGTAAAAGCTATGGGAAATAGTCTAACAGCTACCTGAGTATCCACCACCTAGAATTAACAAATGCTGACTTTTAAAAAAATTTCAGACTATTTTTTTTAAATCAAAGAAATGGAAATCAATAGGTTTAAAAAAGAATTGAAGCCCCCTTTGGTAGAGTTGAGTAAAGCTAACTAAAATCAATCTCAGAATTCAAATGGCTTCGCACTATTTCTCGCTCATATAACACTGCCATGCAACTGTTCTTGTTTGGTGGCTGACACTCCATGTGGCGATACAAAGACCCAGACTCCTTTCATTTTATGGCTCCACCATCTTCACATGGTTTCCAGGGCCAAAGTGCTCACATATATGAAGCTACTAAAAATGGGAAGGGAGACTGTAGAAGACATTCCACTGCTCAAGTTCCTTGGAGTCTTCATGTGACATGCCTCATTGCTGCTCATATTCCATTGGTGGGAAAAAGTCACATGACCCCACCTCCATGTAAGCATTCTGGGAAGTATAATCCTTGGCCACCTCCCAACAGCTGTGAAGAGGGCACACAGAACTTTGGGGAACCACCGGTTTTCTCTGGTGTATCTACTTTGCTTAACTCTCCAGTACCGTTTACTTTTCTCTCAGAGGCAACTACCATTTTGAATGTAGAGTATATACTTCAGTTCAAGTTTTTATGTTTTTACTATATATGTATATAGCTATAAAGAATATATATTGCTTTGTGTGTGTATTTTATTTAGAACATTTATTTTTAAATGTTTTACTTTATATCATTTTGTAACATTTTTACTCAACATTGTGTTTTTGAAATCTGTCCAAGTATCTACATGGAGATCTAGTTAACTCACTTTAACTGTTATATAGGATTCTACTTTATAAGTGCACCAATTTTTGTTTTTACTTTTCCCTATTGATGAACCTTTTGGTAGTTTCTAGTTTTTAATTATTATGAACATTATGAACACTAGCATTCTATACATGGCTCCAGGGACAAATGCATTTGTTTTCCTATATAATCTGGGAGCTTCCTTGTTGGGTTGAAGAGTATGTGTACATTTTCTATTTTATTAGATACTACCAACTTGCTCTCTGAATTATTCCATTTTATGCTCAAGGTTTATAACAATTCCCATTTTCTCACATATTTTCTCACAAACCAAACTTGGGGATTTTTTTAGACTATATTTTATTTTGATGGTCTAATAAATAAGATATTTTATTTTGCTTTTTCTTAATCACTGTAAAGTGATATTGAATATCTTTTCATATGTCTATTGGCCACTTAGTGTTCCTCTCACATGAATTGATTGTTCATATTTTTTGTCCATTTTTCTATTTGTTTGTTTATCTTTTTCTTATTAATTTATAATTATATATTCTGGATATTAATTCTTTGATATATGTGTCCCATATTACCTCTTTTCAGACTATCTCATGTTTTACATTTTTCATGGTGACATTGTCATGCAAGGATTTAAAATATGATGCAGTCAAGTGTGCCCATCTTTTCCTTTATGAATTGCTATGGTAGTCTAAAACATGGCCCCCAAATTCTTTGACATTCTCCCCATTAAGGGGTTTGTATCTCTTCTTGAAACTGGACTGTTTGAGTTCTTGAACAGTAGAATGTAGCAGAGGTGGTATTGTGCCCGTTTGGGGGGCCCCGGCTTTAAGAAACTTGCAGCTTCCACTTCCTGTCTCTTGAAATGCTTTTGGAATATAATCACCATCCTTGTGAGGAATCCCCATCCTTGTGAGGAATCCCAAGCTTGGAATATAATCACCATCCTTGTGAGGAATCCCAAGCTGCCTCGTACTGCAGAAAGGTCCATGAGGACAGCAACTAACAGCCAGTATGAACTTGCCATCTGTGTGGGTGAGCCATCTTGGAAATGGATCCTCCAGCCCCAGTCAAGCCACTCCAGCCGACATGGTGTGGAGCAGAGACCAGCTGTCCCTTCTGAGCCATGCCCAAATTTCAGATTTGTAAGCAAAATAAATGATTGTTGTTGTTTAAAGCACTGAATTTTAGGATGATTTGTTATGCAGCTGGAATAGTTGTACTCTGAGGTCAAAAAGATATTTCCCCTACTTTTGTACAGTATATTCAAAGCTTGATTTTTCTTACCAAGTTTCTGCAATATATCTACATTTTGTTTTTATTGTGCTAAAATACATATAACATAAAATTTACCATTTTCACTATTTTAAAGTATATAATTCAGTGGCATTTAGTACATTCACAGTGTTTTGCAACCATCACTGCTGTTCAGTGTCAGAACATTTTCATCATCTGAAAAGGAAACCTGGTACCCATTATATAGCTTATATTTACACATAGGTTGATATGGGGATCTAATCTCTTTTTTCCAGATGTAAAGCCAGTTTTCCCAGTATGATTTATTGAATAGCCTATCTTTTTTCCCACAAATTTAAAATGTTATCTCTATCATGTACCAAGTTCCCTATATATGCTTAGGTTTGTTGCAGGGCTGTTTTTTCTTCTCAGTTCTCTTGCCCAGGGATTTTAGAAGGCAAATTTATATCTACAGATATATTGCCTTGTGGTTAGGCTTCTTGCCAGTATCCCTTTAGTGTGTAGTTATATATGTATATTTTTCCCTGATAAACTATAACAGATCTCTGAATGGGCTTGCATGTGACTAGGTTGTTAGGACTTTACAAAATTACATAACTGCTTTATTGAAACTTACTATATTTTATATGATTTGTTGTAAATTTATATGTTCCTATGCAGGTCATTCTAACTTGATACTGCTTTTAAATGCCTCTTGATAGTAAGTCATATGTTAAGTTTGAAATTTTCTGTTTGGCAAGACTGTAGCTTTAAGTAGGATTATTCTTAAATGTTCAATACATATCTTACTGCTGATCCACACTGAGATAAGCCAGTGTGGTCACGCCCTGCTCTTAGGCTCTTTTTGGTGGATAAATAGTAGCCTGCAAAGAAATTTGAAGTAGGTAAGGACTAGCTATTTCTGATAACCTCATTGTTAGGTTCTAATGAAAGCAAATCTCTGACCAAATTCTGTTGCACATATAGACACACACATATAGAAATTTATTAATTAAATATTAACAGGCAGGCATAGACGGTTCTTGGAACCTGAGGAAACCCCGTTGCTTACTCCACAGAGAGGCTCTGACCAACACCTTGTAGAAAAAGGGGTCACTTAAGGGAGAATTCTCCTTCCTTTATAGCCAGCAACAGGCAAACAGNTACAAAATTACATAACTGCTTTATTGAAACTTACTATATTTTATATGATTTGTTGTAAATTCATATGTTCCTATGCAGGTCATTCTAACTTGATACTACTTTTAAATGCCTCTTGATAGTAACAGTCATATGTTAAGTTTGAAATTTTGGCAAGACTGTAACTTTAAGTAGGATTATTCTTAAGTGTTCAATACATATCTTACTGCTATTCCACACTGAGATAAGCCAGTGTGGTCACGCCCTGCTCTTAGGCTCTTTTTGGTGGATGAATAGTAGCCTGCAAAGAAATTTGAAGTAGGTAAGGACTAGCTACTTCTGACAACCTCATTGTTAGGTTCTAATGAAAGCAAATCTCTGACCAAATTCTGTTGCACATATAGATACACACATGTAGAAATTTATTAATTAAATATTAACAGGCAGGCATAGACAGTTCTTGGAACCTGAGGAAATCCCGTTGCTTACTCCACAGAGAGGCTCTGACCAACACCTTGCAGAAAAAGGGGTCACTTAAGGGAGAATTCTCCTTCCTTTATAGCCAGCAACAGGCAAACAGAATCCTCCACATTTCACAAATGGTACTGGAATATTCAATTTAAAGGAAAGCATAATCCATAAAGGAAAAGCATCTATGCTCTAGTTGATTCTTAGGCTCTATTTATGAAAGGATGGGCCAAATACTGTTTTAGCCAGCCCTTATTTCTTAAATGCTTTTTATTTCACAGATGGGACCCCATACTTAATATTTATCATGCTATTTGCACCAGTGAAAATTTTTCTGACGTTCAGTATGCTGATAGCAAAGGGTCAATTGTTCATTGAAATACAGCTAGTAGAGGTACTTATAGTGGCCACCTCTGGAATATGAATTTTTATTACGACTAGAGTTGACTATCCCCTGAATTTCATATTTGTCATTTTAGGCCATATCACACTATTCGACTGTATATTATATTTTTTAGTATTTCAGAGCATATTGAAGATATCATGATCAAGTATAGTCAATATTCTTTGATTAAAGTAAAAACAGTTCCTAAAGGAAAAATATAAATATCAGTTCTGCCTATAAATTCTATTTAGACTCTTAATCTATATTGAATATATGCAGAGAGGGACGTTTTATTGAAACAGAAACACTCTTTCTTGCAAATGTTAGTTCTCATCAAATTATCACCTTTCATTTTCAGGTGTATTCTGATGTGATTCTCAGATTATTTTGAAGCATTATGAGAATTCTAATGTTAGAAAATCAATTGCCGTTTGTGACTCTCAAATTTTTGGACATAAATCTTCAGGATTCTGTATTAGGTAATTTATTAAAATTAAAGTACAAATTAGGGTGGGGCGGCTCCGGGGCCGGGGATGGCGGCGGCCGCGGTTGCGGCGGCTCCGGGACAAGTGGGAGGATCCCGGAGAGCGCTGTGAGATGGGCCGGCTCCCAAGCCAGCCGGGAGGACACTTACTACAGCTGCTCAGAAGCAGCACTGGAAGCTCAGCAGAGGTGGGCGCCTCAGCCAGCAGCAGAGAGGGGTGCAGGGAAGCCACAGAGAAGCCTCTTCTGATGCCCCAAGGAGCAAGTCGACCCCTTCCTGGCTCCAGGAACACCACAGAGCAATATGAAACCTGTTCATGAGAGGAGTCAGGAATGCCTTCCACCAAAGAAACGAGACCTCCCCGTGAGCAGCGAGGATATGGGGAGAACTACCGGCTGATCCACTCACCACACACCCTCCAGTGATGCTTCTGAATGGTCCCGAGGGGTTGTGGTGGCAGGGCAGAGCCAGGCAGGAGCCAGAGTCAGCCTGGGAGGTGATGGAGCTGAGGCTATCACTGGTCTGACAGTGGATCAGTATGGCATGTTGTATAAGGTGGCTGTGCCACCTGCTACCTTCTCACCAACTGGTCTCCCATCCATGGTGAACATGAGCCCCTTGTCCCCCACATTTAATGTAGCGTCTTCACTGATTCAACATCCAGGAATCCACTATCCCCCGATCCACTATGCTCAGCTCCCGTCCACCTCACTGCAGTTTATAGGGTCTTCTTATAGCCTTCCCTATGCTTTGCCACCTAATTTCCTACCGAGTCCCCTCCTTTCTCCTTCTGCCAACCTCGCCACGTCTCACCTTCCACACTTTGTGCCATATGCCTCACTCCTGGCAGAAGGAGCCACTCCTCCCCCTCAGGCTTCATCCCCAGTCCACTCATTTAACGAAGCCCCTTCTGCCACCTCCCCACCTGGGCAATTGCCACATCACTCGAGTACTCAGCCATTGGACCTTGTTCCGGGCCGATGCCCATTTATTATCAGATGTCCAGGTTACCCGCTGGGTATACCTTGCATGAAAACCCTCCAGCAGGCACTAGCCCAGTTCATACCCCTCAGGAGGGCCCGTCTGCTCGTGGAAGCAGCTGCTGCCAAAGGAGGACAGAGACAGCGAGAGCAAAATTTAGTAAGACGGGAAAGTGAAGCCCTTGACTCCCCCAACAGCAAGGGAGAAGGCCAGGAACTGGTGCCAGTGGTAGAATGTGTGGTGGATGGACAGTTGTTTTCAGGTTCTCAGACTTCATGGGTAGAGGTGGTGGCGCCAGCACACCGAGGGACCCCAGACACCGACCTTGAAGTTCAGCGGGTGGTTGGTGCTTTAGCTTCTCAGAACTATCGTGTGGTGGCAGCTCAGAGGAAAGATGAACACAGTCCCCTCAACCTGTCCCATCATACCCCTGACCATCAGAGTGAGGGGCGAGGGTGGACCAGGAACCCGGCAGAGCTGGCAGAGACAAATCAGGCCCGTAGGTTCTACCTTCAGTCTCATCAGGAATCGGTGAAACACAGACATTTACCCAAAGCAATGGTTGTAGCCAACGGCAACCTGGTGCCCTCTGGAACTGACCCAAGCCTGCTCTCCATGGGCTCGGAGATACTGGTGGCATCAAGTCTGGACTTGCCGGCCAGAGCCACCTTCCCAGACAAGGAGCCAACGCCACCCCCCATTACCTCCTCCCACTTGCCCTCCCATTTCATGAAAGGCGCCATCATCCAGCTGGCTACGGGGGAGCTAAAGCGGGTGGAGGACCTCCAGACCCAGGATTTTGTGCGTAGTGCCGAAGTAAGCGGAGGACTGAAGATTGACTCTAGCACAGTCGTAGACATTCAGGAGAGCCAGTGGCCTGGATTTGTCATGCTGCATTTCGTGGTTGGTGAGCAGCAGAGCAAAGTGAGCATCGAGGTGCCCCCCGAGCATCCCTTCTTTGTATATGGCCAGGGTTGGTCCTCCTGCAGCCCTGGACGGACTGCACAACTCTTCTCTCTGCCCTGCCATCGGCTACAGGTTGGAGATGTCTGCATCTCTATCAGTTTACAGAGCTTGAACAGTAATTCAGTTTCTCAGGCTAGCTGTGCTCCCCCAGGCCAGCAGGGTTTCCCCCAAGAAAGGCCTGAGAGGACAGTCTTGGGATCCAGAGAGATATGTGACAGTGAGGGGAAGAGCCAGCTGGCAGGAGAGGGCTCCCGTGTGGTAGAGACCTCCCAGCCTGAGCCTGGTGCTCAAGCCTGCTGGCCAACCCCGAGCTTCCAAAGATACAGCAGGCAAGGAGAGGAGGCCCGGGCTGCATCGCTTCATGCCTCTTTCATTCCACAGGAGGTAAAGCTGTCCATCGAAGGACGTTCCAATGCGGGAAAATGAACCTCTTTGCTAGACCAGGACTGGGGCTTTACTCCAGAGCTGAGCCTCGCTGAGAGCAGGCAGAGGATTTGCACATGCCAAGCAGGGAATGGCTCTCTTGGCAGTGAGATTTGGGGATAAAGGGGAGGTGTGCAGGCAACCTCCTGAGGCAGGATCTGTTGCTCATTACCCCATGGCATCCTTTCAGGACAGCCCCAGAGGGTGCTGTGATGGGGAGCAGCTGGCCTGGGGCAAGGAAGGAAGGGGGTGCACATGAGATAAGAAACATTCCAAAATCAGGGCCTCCCTGTCCTTTTCTCCGCATCCCTAGCTCTTGTAAGGGAAAGCCCAGGCTTTGGGAGCAAGTGATGGAGGGAGGGAGCAAAGAAAGAGCCAAAAATGATGATCCACAGCTTATAGTAGCAAAAAATAAAATAAAATAAAATAAAGTACAAATTAGGATTGTTTATATAATGGTGAGGTTTTGCT